GCACAGGATCCTAATTCAACTTTCAAGGTTAACATGGAGTTCGAGGACCTGTGTTGCTTCGTGGTAGTAGTTTCCGAGTCTAGTGCAAACTCACCAATAAATTAGTTTGATCAAAAGGATCTTAAAACAGGATTCTCTTTATTTATTATATTCCTTTAACCATGACGTCTCGCATTTTCCGCCGCAGTTTTTGTTAGAGTCTTTTCGTCATTCTAGTGGGACCTACTCAGAACCGAGTCAAGGCAGCGTACAGGCAACGGAGAGCCTCCTGCGAGTTCTTCACTTTATTGTCACTAGTCGGTCTCGTCACGCTGTCGGCTACTTCGATCCCTCAATCGTTGCCGCCATACCCTCCTCACCACAACTTTTCCCTCCCGACTTCAACGACCTGGACCAATCGTTGGAAATCCTGCATGGCCTCCTGGTGGATGATATAATTCATAAACTCTGTCTGCGTCCAATGACCCTCTCAGAAATCCTTTGTGGCTTTCCGCTGCAGCCTCCACGTTGTTGCCCGCATAAAGAGCCAACTTACTGTGGCCTCTGTGACCCAATAGAGCAAATTTCGAACACCTCAAATGACAATAATAAGGTGCCTGCCAACCGAGGTATTATCTGCAGAAGACACCTGGTCCATAGCATATTGCAACAATTGGCCACGCAGACGATTGTGGGAGAGGAAATAAAATTTACTCTGCGGCCCGAGGTTCTGGCCGTTCGCTTTGACCTCTTCTATCCTGCCTATATATGGAAAAGGCAAAACAAAGTAAGTTTTTTACCTTCTACTAGCATCTGCTCAGCTACTCATAGGCGGTAAGTATTATGAAGTAAAGCATGCTCATTTATTCCTTTACAGGCTAAGGAGGCAGTATTTCGGACGTTGACGCAGGCTCGTGAAGCCAATGCCCACCTCTTCCCGGCAGATTTCCCAATTCCTCCACCGCCACCTCGTCCTCGACGACGTTTTGTAGATCACCTGAGTGCACCAATCCTGAGGCTACTTCGTTGTCCAACTTTTGTCCACCTCCTTCGACAACTGTTGGACATTGGCATCAAGTATGGGAGCCAGCAGTCAAGATGGTCAGAGACCCTTCTTGAGCTGGTCCTCCATCTGATAATTATCGCTCTCTACGAGGACGTTGTGGCCTTCGCGTAAGTTATGGGCTATTATGGTAGTGTGCTTTGCGATCCAACAGTAATTTGGGATCGAGACATTGGTATGCCTCTTTCAGGGAGACTGGCGAAAGACCCTTCCTGAAAGTAGTCAGTCTGGTGTCTGAAGAGTCCGAGAGTGACGAGGAGTTTGGGCACTATGCAGAACTGTGGCACTGGGACAGACAAGACCCTCCTGCCTCGGCGAGACAGTAAGTGAAGTTTCAGCTTTTTTCCTAATTATATTCTTATTTCGCTCCTCAACATTCTTAACAGCACTTGTATTGCGTGAAGTCGTAATCTCAAAAACGAAAAGTAGCTTACCTCTGAGCAGTCCTCAAACACTTCATCTTTCAAAATTTATATTCTATCCACTGTTATAATTTGAGTTTTGAAAAACAAGTTTTATCAAATATTTTGTCATTACATCGGGTCTTGGCTCGCAGGATGGAACCCAGCCACAGTTTGATGAGACTTGATTCCTCATGATAGGCGACAAGCCCATGAGTTGTGAAACACTGTAGGACGACACTGAGATGCTACATCAGAACGTGTGCACATTTTCTTCCCGTTATTTCCAGGTGCGTGCCGAGTACGTTAAAACTTAGAAGACATTCGCATAACACGTCTTCCACTGGATGTGAAGGGGTACTTTAGAGAAGAACAGGGGCACCAATGCCACGACAACATTTGGTAGGAGTACTTCATGAGGCCCCTCGGGGTGGGGGGTCGCTTAGGGCAAAGGGGAAAGGCGGGGCATATCAGGGAACAAATTAGATTACGAGGGTAAGTTGGGGCGCGTAGTCAAACTTCGGGCGGGGACACTGAAGTACGCTTTAATATTATTGCTACCCCCCCCCTAACGGACCAACGGCGAGCGCGTATATGTCGAAGGAGTGTGCTCTGACCTCGGGCAAGGTCTTTTTGTGGTACATTTTCTAGTAGTACCACTAACCCCAACTAGAATAAAGGCGAACGAGTGAAAAAGGTTGAAGATTGTGAAAATACACCCTACTTAAAATTTGTAAGTAGGTGATTATCCTCCTGGTTAATTTAGAAGGCCATTTTTGCTTAGGATAATGACTTAAGCGCTTATTGTACGCGTTTGGCTTCGAAAGATTACTCTGCAGTTCAATGCCATCAGCCAAGCCCTGCTGGATCGACAGCTGACGTGCAGAAAACTGGAAGACTGTGGGTGATTCAACATTTGTAAGTAGGTGGTTAAAATACTTAAGTGCCCTTCTGCGACCCCAATGGGTGCTCTTAGCCAACTTTTATTACAATTATTTGCAGATGTGATGAATTATATAAGACGATGGTATTGTTACCGTATTTGTGCCAAAACGAGATAATATGTGCTCCAAGCCGTTTAATGAGAAAAGGGAAGTTAGAACAAATTAAAATTTCGAGCTAATTGGGCCAGTACACCGTCAGACGAAACAAAAAAGGAAATCTGAACTTTTCACGCTACACTGTTGGCGAGTTAAATAATCAGACCACACTGCTGCCAGAGTGATAGGCACATTGCTGCCGTTAACGTAAAAAATCTTAAAAAACAAGCTAGATAATAGCTACTGTAGTATTCCAGATCCATTTAAGGACTGGCATTGGACTGCTCAGGCACCCACTTACATATCCTGACACCAACCATCAGAGTGTCTTACTTGTCCTACAAGCCATAAAATGAATCTGATGAAAACGGGCATAGTCGATTGGAACAGGCTTGCTTGTTGACGAATTGCAGTTGTTTTTGAGTAATCAGCCCCTGACCTCTGTACTTTTTCTTCACTGTTGATAATTTATTCCTGCTACCCTATCCACCTTAATCTCCCCCTTTCTATTTATCCTCCGTCTTCCTCTTGTTATTCCTCTTTCTCCCCTAACCTTCTCTAGTAATTGTCTCCTGCGTCGTTTAGAGGTCCTCCTCGAGAAAAGATACTGCAAAGATCAGGCAGATCTGATCAGGCAAGTGCTTTCTTGGCTTTCCTGCGAAAACCCCCTACTGAGAGGTTCAGAAATGAGGCAGCTCAGAAGTGCAAAGATTTTCGATTTGTCTTTTTCAGAATTATCACAAAACAACATCTCAACAGTCCTTCCAAAGAAGAGATGTGTTTAGAACAAAATGTCAATATTTCTTGTGTGCTTGTTAATACCCAGAAAACAGTGACTAATAACATTGTTTGTCAGTATTCCTTTGATTTTAAAATGTGCTAATGAATTTGCAACGTTACATTTCGACGGAGTGGTTGCAGCGTAGAACTCTCTTGACAAAGAGTTTGTGCTCTTTACATATGTGAATACATTTAAGAGCAAACTGCATATGCATCTAGCAACTTTCCCACCAGGCATACCCTAACGCAGCGGAAGACAGCTAAACACAATTATCCTTCTACTCGTGCTACGTGAGTAGTCCTACAATATAATTACTATTTCGACCACCCAATAGCGACTCCTTTTCATCTGGATGCGTGTAACTGTCGTTTTATTTCAATTTTTCTTTTGTGTCAATGCTTTTTCTAGGCAGTTTGTTAATAACAGGGGGTTCAAGAGCATTCGCCCATCTTTCTCTTGGTGAAACTGAAGTAAACGCAAATGTGCACATAATAGCATAATTTTTAAATACAATAGCTGGCCTATTTCCGGCAATGTTGACCGAAATGCTGAATGGTGTTTTCGATTTGAAAGGGATACTTAAAGGGAGTTATGATATTTATTATTCTGCACCGGAATCCTACGAGTAGGCCGAATTTTAAATAGGTTTTTTTCCAGATTTTTATAACTAATTGGTCGAAGCTAACGTCTTTATCATATTCAAACAAGCCGAAATTCTCGAGATCGGTGACAATGATATGAGTCACGATTTGGTTATATGCGTTTTATAGTGCGGAAAATACGGCTTCCATGCATACGCGCCCGTACAATCTCTATTTACAAAGTTTTCATATTATAATAACTTTCAAAACGGGTTTTCCAGTAGCTTTGCCTATTACACTACCACCCGCAAAAATAGTGTAAGAGAGAGCGAAAGTGAGAGAATGAGGTCGATGCTATATGTTCCAGCCGAATGCCGAATCAACAAATTATCCTCCGTAATTAATTATTGCCAACCGGCCTTAATTCTGAGCACGGAATGTGGCCACCTGCCATTATTAGGAATTTGATTCGGACCACAGTAGTTCCTTTTTAAACATGCCTTCATAGCACAGTTGCATGTTTGGTTGGGGCTTAAATGTGCATTTTTACTTGGCACGCGGAGAATAGCTGTTAATAGTCGTCAGTCTCTTTGATCGCATTCACTTCCAGTCACACAAACTTTGTCTTAATATCGTCAGAGGCTGGACCACGTTAGAAGAGAACCTAAGGCAGAAGTCGTGCAAATCTGCTTCACTAAAAGCCCATGCATCCGGGAGTACAGCTTTCGCGTTATTATGAGTGATGATATGATGTTTAATGTCGCATTGGATGCAGCTGTTCGAAATCTTAAGGGCCTGTGGCATTTTACTTTGGATTACCTGACTCTTGACCTTCCTCTCATTGAAGTGTTGAAGTCATCACGGACTGGTTTCACCTCTTGTTCAGTGGAAGTTGACGATTGCACTGGTTCATTGCTCGCTCTTGCTTTTAGTTAATTCGACGACGTAATCAATTATTATTTCGCTTCAACAGGTGGACTATAAAGCTCTGGAAGTCAATTGCCGAGACTCAATCCGAGTCAGAGATAAAAATGCCTGAAGGGGTATGCTATCAATCTGTTTCTTATTTTTGTCTACCCAAGCCTTTTCTTTAAAATGGCTCGCGTTTGCCAAAAATGACGTCCCTTTTACGCCATAGTTCGCATTTTTTAAGAAATAACCTAACATACATACCATTAACAATAACTGTATGAATGGGGCTCCAAGGCCTCAAATCA